TCCCTGCTTTAGATGATTGTTTAAAAGCTTTACTGGATCATCAGTTCCCTTTGCCCATCTACTGCCCATAATAGTCATCAGACAAAGCACATGTTTAAGTAACAAGAGGCTTTGTACCTATCTTGTGTATTTAATTTATTTAATTATTTTATCCTATCACTGAAGATCACAGGGAAGCTTATAGTCACTGACACACCCTAAAATAGCAAGCGAAGGTAAGACAACTCATCAGAGATGAACAGATTTAACCCCATTTCAGTCCACTTTCAGACACAATTGTGGGATCAAAACAGACTTTATTTTCCTAACAGAAGACTTGCTCATGGGACCAGACAAAGGGAATGTTGCCCTTTTGAGCCTTATAGTTTTAAATTCCATAAGCAAGGACATTCTGTGGGCTTGCATCACTATATGCTGGCTCTGACATAATGCATTGTTTTAGCATTATGAGGATGTTTCACAGCAGGTATTAAATGGGCCTATCGCCTGCTTTTTTTTTCTAAGTGCAAAAGCTTTTGCTTCTACTTTAGATGGGCCACAGTTGCTGTAACATTTAAACCTGGACAAACTGGTTAAATTTCAGTATGTTCTAAGCAAGCTGAAAAGTATAGTTTGTGAAGCTACTTTAGGCTAAACAACTGTACTGTACTTCAGATCACAGGCAGGTCATGATTAGAATATGTATCACCTTTCTAAAATGTTGGGACAATCCCACTTTCTCATTTAGCAAGTTTCCCATGGTTTATAACCATTATTTAGGATTTGGCTGACACACTAAATTGCAGCTAATCTAAAACAAAAGAGGGTTTGATTGGATGGCCACACTAGAGGAGGAGAGTGCACAAGTTCAAGGTGTGTTGAAGCCTGTGTTTATAATGTTCAGCCATTTGTAGGCTTGGAAAACTTGGTGTCTTGCAGATGTTTTGGGCTACAGATTTTAAAAGCCCTGGGAGGCATAGCCTGTAATCAGGTGGTAATGAAAGGAATTGTGGTTGGGGTAATGGGGGGGAGAAGGGGTCCAGAGCAGGTGGATGAGGATGGCATGCCTTCCTCCTTTTACTCTGAGGCTGAGCTGGGTGTCAGACTTGCCTCTAGCACAGCAGTGGAAGTGAAAGCAACTATATGTGCCACTCATGCAGAAGGTTGCCTAGCAATCTGTTGATGTCACAGGGATGGGCAGAATGCAGGGGTAGGAAACTGAAAAGGGGGAGAGGAGGTCATGTGGGAGGAGAGACAACAATTGGAGAAACAGAGGAGAAGAGAGACATACAAGGAAGGATGGGAGAAACATAGACCAAAGGCAAGTTCGGACAGAAGAAGAGATGTCAGAAATGCAAGAGAAGGAAACACAAGAGGTAGCCACAGCAGGAGAATGGGCAAAGAGAGACCTGCCAGAACAACAACCTCCTCATGGCAGCCAGCTGTGAAGGTCCTGGGGGGCTGCAATTAGCTCTTTAGGAAGATGCCTGCCCTCAGCTGGAAGGCAAGGGGATTTCTTGACGGAGACAGCTACCAACTTGAATAGCCGGGTGTGGGAGCTGAGCCAGGGAGGCCTCCCTAGCCAGTGGACAGTCGATTTCTCATGCCTGGCCTATCACTCATCTTGGGGGGGGGACATACTTGCTGGGAATACTCAGCAGCTGCCCCCTCCCCACAACTAGATCTGAGGCTGCCAGTGCTCCAAGATGGGGAACCCTAGGTACTCAGTGCAGCCCCAATGTCCACTAGGCTTCCATAGACTCCTACTGATAGAGGCCAAGTCTAGTTAGCAAGGCCATCCATCCAGGGATTGTAGTGGTCAAACCATTCATGCAGGTATCAACCTAGAACTCTTCCAGCTTGCCTTTGGATCTACTGTTGCATAAGGCCCTACTAAGACTCACGTGGTCTTGAGTTGGGATCCAGCAGGTCCTCCTGACTATCTGAGTTCTGGGCCTACAAACATATGGCTATTTGCACACCCAACTATTGCTGGCATCCAAAATGATCCTGACCCAAATCCTGCTGACAGTTGCTTGATCCCAGGGTGGAATCCAGTTGATACCAAAAGTGGTTCAAACCCCAACTCTCGTTCCCGTAAGCACTGACAACTGGACTAAAGGGTGAAGAACACAGGTTAGAGATGTTATACAAACTGAGATGCTGAGGCAAATCAGGCAGAAGGTAACATAGGATTTCTCTACCAGGCTAAGGCTGTGAAAACAACAGGCCTCCCTGTGAAAAAAAAACTGCATTTTTTGTTTTTTGTTTTAGTACAACTAATATATTGTGACTATCAATAATATGACTGCATGTACTTATGTCCTTTTGCTCATGGATTAGAGAGGCAGGATCACAACAGGCCAAAATATCTGGAGCACACCACATTGCACCCTTGATTTCACTTTTCAACCACATACAGCCATGATAACTGTTGTGTAACTCTTATGCCAGTATGATACTATAAGACAGGGGTCCCCAACCCCTGGTCCCCGGCCTGGTGCCGGTCTGTGTGCTTGCTGGAACTGGGCCACAGAGATGGATCTTGACATGACATGCCTGCCCCTGCACGGTGCATGTGTCATGCTCACGAGGGGGCATGTCGCGCTTGCACGGGGGCATGGTGTGCTTGTGCAGGGGCATGTTGCACTTGCGCAGGGACATGTTGTGTTCATGCACACACACACACAAGTGCAGGATTGCTCATGCCCCTCCATGCATGGAGCCCCCCCCAATCAGTCTGCAACCCCAAAAAGGGTGATGACCACTGCTATAAGATAATGAAAATGTAGTACTCTTGGAAATGTACATGTGCCATTCTCCATATACTGTATATTGTTTATAACCAACTAGCCACTGGGGAGGTGGATGGTGAAAACATTTGTTTTTGTATTATTTTGGGTTCTTTCAGGAAGTGTCTCTTTCATTTTTGTGTTTCATGCACCAATACTTCTGTTAAATACAAAAGTGACCATCACTTTCAGGTTGTTTTATTTCATTTTTCCTTGTTCATGTTTTCTAGTCCTAGTCCTAAAAGGTCTTTTTAAAAAGCCATAAAAGACAAACATGAAAAATCAGAGACAAGGCAACAGAGAATCAGTCTCCTCATCATGCAGGTAACGGTACAATCATCAACAAGAAGCCCAAAAAGAAACCACAAAATGATATCTGCAGCTTGAATAGTGGATGGAGCCAAATCCCAATGCATCTGATGGAAGAGCCAATCTAAAAAGAACCCTCTGTTTTTCTGAGGCAACCCTGACATAATTGGAAGGAGTTAGAGGGCTAGTTCAAAGTTAGAATTCTGTGCATGCTAAGCTTTTGTGGGAGACAACATGAAATTTTCTTTTGCTTGATATTCCTACTGGCTGTGAAGGCTAGAATCTCTGACAAACCAGACTACTCAACAACTGTGCTTCTGCCTGCATCCTGTTGTGAAGCAGGATGCATTTATTAGACTAATGGCTTGACCCCATTTTATCAACACAGTTTACTTAGGAAAGACGAAGGTCCATTCATCACTGTCTTTTGAATAAAACAGGTTTATTGTTTACAGATGTTTCTATAATAATTCATAAGTATCTTCTTCGGGTTCATCAGTCATCAATAACAATCTTCTCTATTATCTTACAGGTTACTATTCACTCCTCAGACTAATCACTCCTCAGATTCCCAAACTAATTCTCTCTCTCTCTCCCTTCAAGCTCAGATCCAGACTGACTTCCTCCTCCTCTCTGGCTCCGCCTTTTAACCTCTCTAGTGGCCCCAACTGTCAACTACATCAGCATAAAACATGAATAATGCATGACTTATTTAACATAATAAGGGTGAACTGTGCTGACCTCCCACACTTGAAGAAGGACTTGCTTAGACAACACAAGTTCCAGCATTTGTTGCCTTTAAAGATAACAGTCACCCTTGAATAGGGACTAAAATGATAGCAGGTTTTTCAGTCCCATAGACTTGAATTGTTAGAAAAGAAAGGTCAGCAGCTTATTTACTTGGTTGCTATTCATTGTTTCTTATTGATGATAAGTTAGATTTTGGCAATGTTCAATGTGTTCCACACTATGTATCAAGCATGTTGTGCCATGTTTAAGGCTACAATCCTATATATGTTTTCCTGAGTAGAAGGTCCATTGAAATAAATTAGAATCGCTTACAAATAAATAGGCATGGGACTGTACTGTGTGTTACTATTCCAACTCTACACATCTCTAGCCTGTTTACAAATATTTAAAATAAATGTTATGCTGAAGACTTTGGACTGAAAGCATAAAACATCTTGGGGAAATGAAATAACTATTGATATATAACAGACTGTACTCCTGTCTTACATTTTATCGTGTTGATTCTTGAATTTGTTGAAGCAATGGTAGACAAAGTATGGGTGTCCAGATGATGCTGGACTTCTGCCAGCATTCCTTATCACTGGCTTTGCAAGCTATGGGGGATGGGAGTTGCACTACATCCCCAGCTGGAGAGCCAGACTTTACACATCGCCATTGGGAGTAGTCCGTATAATAGTTTAGACTCTTACTGGTATGACATTCTGTATCAAGGGTGTGCAACTTCAGTCTTTCTAGGGGCCAATCTCCTCCAACGGGGATCCACTGTCTCATCTCTTTAAAAAAGAATCATAGAAAGGTGTGATTCCTCCTTTTTTAATGAAGGAAAAATGTTTGGCAACGGGGTTGGTGGTGGGTGGGGTTTGGAGAAATGAGAGGAAGACATGTGTAGCCTACAGGCTACATGTTGTCCATTCCTGCTCTCCAGGAATCACCATAAAAACATGGTGATCATATTCATCTACTGTAAATGGCTTTTTAGGGGAACCTTCCAATTCTGTGATTTGGGAAACTGGATTCAACGAAGAGAAGGAGGACCACAGGGCTTATCTTAATGCCTCCTAAAGACCAACGGGGCATCCTTGATTTTGTTAAGCAAATGTTTCTAAAAGAGCAGAGCCAGTTGAGAATCAGGACTTATCTCTCTGATTTTGTCCTCTTAGAATTGCCAAAGTGGAAGAGACCCTACGGATCATGGAGTCCAGCCCCTGTCAAGGAGACAGAGTGAGGAGGTGAACACCGAATCTCTGGGTCTGCAACCCGAGACCTAAACCATTGAGCTATCCATCTGCTCTCTGGAGAAATGGCATCACCAAGATGTAAGCTTAATTTTGTTGAGATAAAGCAGCATTATTTATTTATAAAAATTGCCTCCCTTTCTCCTTGAAAAGGACACAACGCTGCTTACAACTGTGAAAGACAATATTTAAAGTAGAAAACAATGAGTATACAACAGTGGTTAACATCATTAAAATACAATATTTAAAGCTAAGAACAACGAGTAACAATGCATCTTACATCACTGAAAGTCAATACTAAAGTAAAGAACTAAGTATACAATGAAAGAAAAGCCAATGCCACTCTGAGAAATGGAAAACACAAAAATGGAAAACACAGTAGTACTAGAAATTCAGTCAAAGCAGTAATGCATAACAATTCATCCAAAAAAAAAGCACACACAGGTTGCTAGCTACCAAGGGAAGGCTTGCACAGTGAATCTGTGTGTATGCACATGCACAGGGAAGCGGTAGTGTGATAGGTGTTTTCCCCTCTTGTGTTTTCTGGATCTATTCATGGTCTATTTAGTTTTCTCTTCTTTTTGTAAGATTGCTTTCTGCTTCTCACTAAGTAGAGAGAGGCAGATGAATGGTTTCTCCTGTATCAATAAACACAATTTTTCTATTTTTACCCAATTACCAGTTTCCAGAACAATGGCTCTTGTCTGACAGCAGTAGCCTAATTCACTCTGCTAGCCTACGTATTGAATATTTTTACAAGTTTTTGGACAGCCTAAGTTTTTAGATTGCAGAAGTCAATGGTACTTCTGAAGGCTGACATATTGCTCAGAAACATGGAGCAATATGTTGGTGGTGAATTTTCTGCTCCCAGAACCCTCCTGGTGTGCAGGGACCATCAAATAATTGGGGGGGGGGAAAGAGAGAGACTAGAAGTGCCTGAAACCTACTTAAGATTTTTTTTTGGATGGGAAAAAAGAGAGAGAGAAAGAGAGAGGCTTTTGCTGTTAAATGACACAACCTTTTTACAAGGTGAATTGCCACTCCATCACCTGGGGGCTTCAAGAAGTAGCAATAAACTGGTCTTTTGGTGTGATTTTTTTAAAAAAATTTTTTTTGAAGGTAGGCTGAAGGAATGTTCGGGAGAGGCTGTTAGAGCGTTTTCTGGGAAAGGCACATAAGACCACACTTTTGGCCATCCTCTGCACTAGAAATCTGATGTGGAAGCAGCAAACTTTGAGATATACTGTACATTGTAAATACATACAAACATCCCAAACCACCATTAAGTGTCTAAGTAATCTTATTCCAAGGAAACCAAATCCTGAGGAAGAATGGGAATCCCTGTTCCACTGCTCAGATACAAAGGGGGTGCCCCTAACAGCATGAATACTGCAGTCGCTAATTTTTACTCAATCTGAAAAGCATGTGATTTTTAACTGGGTGCAGAACAAAAGCTTCAATTCATCAGTATGAACAGTGCCATTTGAAATCAAGCTTTAGCTTGTTGTTTTATGTGCCTTGCAAGATACACTGTTAAAATCACTGTATCTTCCCCAGAACAAACCCAAAGCGAGTGTAATCTTAATTTAAAGTCTGTGCCTTGTACCCACAAACAGCTTTTCCACAGGCTATGCAGGCATTTCAGAACAAATGCACACTGGTGGTGCACTGGAGAATAACATGATGCCACACTTGAAAATTGACAGTGGGGCATATATTCAGCATCCTTTAAATTTTTAATTTTTTAAGAACATTGTTATGTCTTTTTCCTTCTAGGGTAAAATAAAAGTATTTTGCCAGTAGTACTGGAATGCCCTTAGGATCCCCAACAGCATTTTAAATTATATTTTATGCATTCCAAATAAGGTTGGAGGTAAACATTTTAGGGGTCTACATTATCTATAAAGCACATTGTTATGTTATGTACCATCAAGTTGCATATGATGTGTGGCAACTCTAACAGGGTTTTCAAGATACAGTATGTGAGAAAATGTAGGAGTGGTTTTACCCTTGGCACTCCCCCCTCCGTGAGTTTCCTGGGCCATAGAGGAATTTGAACCCAACTCTTGTGAGTCTTTGTTCATCACTCTATCCGCTACACCACAGTGATTCTTAAGTGAAACTTTAGCTGTCCCTAGCCAAAGCAAGTTAGCCCATTCCAAATGGCTTTTCCCAAATTCTTTTCTTTTCTTTTCTCTTCTTTTCTTGATGAGCATAAGCACAAGCAACAAATATGTTTTTGCAATAATGTCCAGGAAGCTCTTAGATAGCAGCTCCTATCAACTTTACCTGATGCATCCAGTGGGGGGTGGGGAAGGAGGTGCAACTGTGGGAGAGGTTTGGAGTTTAATCATTGCCTGAATAGTGCAGAGAAAAATTTGGAGATATCTGCCCATTCTTACTCCTTCCTTTAGAAAAGGAGAAATGATATGCTCATATCATTGACTTCTTGATTAAAGAAGACCAAAAAACACCTTCTACAGAGCAGAAAATATTGGAGAGAGGAAAGGCTCTGAGGTGGGGGGGCAGAGAAAACCCTACGTTTAGTGGTTTAGTTGGTATGCCAAAAAACACCTTCTACAGAGCAGAAAATAATGGAGAGAGGAAAGGCTCTGAGGTGGTGGTGGGGGGGAGAAAACCCTAAGTTTAGTGGTTTAGTTGGTATGGCTCCCACAAGACATCCAGTGTTAAAGGGAGATGCATGCAAAGTTGCATTCTTCCAATAGTAACATCTGGTGGCCACATCTTACCTGTCTAATGTGTATAGCTAGAGAAATTAATGCTAAATAATGAGAAAATGTTACCATTGAAAATGGTGGTGGGCATTTTGAGGGAACTGTGCTCTTTACAAAATCCTGCTGGAATATCTAATGAGGCTTCTGAAGACATGTGGCGAAATGCCATGCTGGCCTGGGAACTATACCTATCTGAGCTCTAAGTGTCAAGTGTGCTGCGTATTTGCGTATTTGCCAAGATTTTCAGAAAACTTCATCCTGGGACTCCCATCTTCTGTGGTTAGGTGGGCCATGAGTAGGGAAAAGTCACTTTTCCATCCATATAACTCCCCATTCATACTACTGGATCAATACAGACCCTAATCGAAGGAGGGGATACAGTACTGACATGTAGAAGTTGATTTCCACACCTGCGTCATTACCCCTTCCAAGGCACCATTGATCAGGGAAGTGTTTGGAAATATCATTCCCCTGAATATCCCTACCAAATACAGTCTGGGCATCTCTCTCTTCTGCCTCCCTAAAAAATGAAGAATATACAGATACATTTTTATGGGGCTTACAAAAATAAAAAAACTCTGTTCTTAAATTGGCCAGCAAAACAAAATCAAAAAGCCTTTTCCTTTAATGACGCCCTCCTGGAGTGATATTTTGATTTCTGAAGTAATTCATCCAAATATATTTTAACAAGTTATTTGAATGGTTTTTTTATTAATTAAAAATGTTTCAGTCCAAGCAAAATGGACATGTGAAGTGGACTTCACCTGCTCATTTACATTTATGCAACCTCCATTAGAATCAGACTTTGACAGGGAAGAAAAAGCCTGCCTAATTTCCCAAATGGAGACCTGCCGACCTTCCCTGTATATGCTCCATATAGCATATGGCTGAAGCAAGGAACACCATTTCTTTTGTTCATTGGTGAGGGTTTCCCCCCCCTCCCTTCTGGTCCTTTTACTTTCCTGGCGTTCAAATAAGGCTAATTACAAAAGGGAAAAAGTTGGAACAGCTAGAGAGTGATCATTTAAAGCCGTTTCTTTTGCAGAAGGGAACAAAAAGAAGTACCGAGGGCATGGATAGGATTGTTAAAAAAAAAAAGGACAGATGTGAAAAACCATCTAATGAGGATGTTGAGATAAGTGCTTGTGAAGAAAACTGGCAAAAAAAGCTTTTAGTCTAAAATCCATAAATAAGTGGGCATCAGATGGGTACTAGAACATTTATAACAAGAGAGGCCACCAAGCCGTATCCTTCTACGCAAGAGCTCTTAGAAATTTTCTTTTTTAACAAGCTACTTTCTCCTCTTTTCAAATATTAATTTAAAAAAAGAAATACTTGAAAATTAAGGAGTTTTATTCATGTCCTTGAATCCATTATAAAAGCAGGCCCTACCAGTAGGTCTGCTTTAGATATAATGATGAAAACATGCAAGCTCCTTGTGCTTTATGCACATAGGAGCTCTAAGAGAACTGGCCACGGAGTCCTTTGCTGATCTCTGTGAACTTGAAACTTGGCTCAAATGACATATGCGCTACGGGAGGGACAGCATTAGGGAGAAGGGTCAATGCCATTTCCTCTTTCATGTGCTGCTCCCCTTCCTTGCCCTGTAAAATTGGGGATTCGGATTGGCGTGGTATACAAAGAGGTGTACAGGCCAGGTATTTGAGGCGCAGTCTAATTATCCAAGAAGGATTTCGTCCTCAAGCATTGTCTGATTTAGCATGTAGTACTGCTCTAGGAGGGCATGAAAGAGAAGGGGAAAAACAAATCTGAAAGGGAAATGAGATAAAAGAAGGAAAAAGGAGCAAAACATCCTTTATAGCTCACCTCCTTTTTTTTTACATCTGCTATCCATTGCGAATGTTGCAGGCAGTAATGACTGCATAAACCCAAGTGACCAATTTTCCTACTGGTTCTGGTTCATTTCTATTTTTTTTTAATTTAATTTTTTTAGATTTTCACATTTTTAAAAACGTTGACTAGGTAATGTTTGTCTTTGGCATCATGAATGCAGTTAAGATGTGTTTGTTTCGTTACTCATTTAGCAGTGATAAGAAACCTGTGCACCCATACTTCATTTAGTTGCCATGTTCCCAACAAAACGATACCTGTCTGAAGCTGCTGTTTCTTTTGCATTTCAAAGGAAACCTTCACTTATAACGCATATAGCAACTACATACTGCTGAACAAAGGATGAATATGAAAATACTTAGCAAGTAAATGAATATATTTTAGTGGCCAAGAGCAAGGAATGGCTTTTTATAATCCCACCCAGCCACAACCACATCATGTGTCTTTAGAGAGGAATGGTGTCTTTTGTGAGTGCCGCCTTCCCTCTAGAAATGT